GCAACGAATACCCAACGCAGCCGGGAAGGAAGGAAGGACTCCTTTAAAAAAAATAAAATAAGGGTCAAATGAAATAATTATAAAATATGTAAAAATGAATAAATTCTAGGGTTGTAGGCATCTATTGAATAGATTAATTTCATTTCACAAAATCTATTAAATTTACAGCCACTCACATGTTATATTCATTCCTCGTGTCAGGTTCATTCTCTTAGTCTTCTCAATGTTGAAGTTCTCTAATTTCCTAGAGTAAGGAAGTTGAACACTTTCTCTAGCCAAGCATCATGCTTCACCTACCATATGCTTTTAATATGTGTATAATAGCATTACAAGGGTCTTATTCCCATTTCACAGATTACAAAACAAGGTTCAGTGAGGTTTTGTAACTTGCCCAAAAGAACATACTAGTTAAGTGACAGAGTTTGGACTTAAGCACAGATTTGTCCCATTCTAAAGTATTGCTTTTTGGAGTTTTCTATCAGTTGAAACAGATCGGATCAGTCTCAATGTTTCTCTGTAATATTTTCTCATGTTATCTCACTATACTGGGAGCGGCAGCTCATCCATCCTCATTAAAGTACATAATTTTCATCCCTTGAAATAATTAGCTCATACTTCTGTCAAACCTCTAGAATTATTGTAGCAATGTGGTTTCCCCTTCACTCTGGTACTTCCACTATTTGTATCTTTCCTGAGGTTCTAAGCCTAGATCGTTGGGCATTTTTCTCTCCTTTATCTGTCTCATTAAATACAAAGCAGCTCATATTGAATACAAATCATTTCTTATATTAGAAATGATACAATAGCATTGAAAACTAAAATTGTCAAAATATAGGAGTTTGAACAATTAATAGTATCCAACCAAAAATAGGTATAATTTCTTAGTTTTTAATATTTTTATAAAGCATTTTTACAACTCACCTATAAATGTTTGATCTTTCAAAATTTTGTACAGGAACCTGTAATCTCAAAAAATAGTACATTTCTGTTAGGCAAGGTATATTGGACAAAAACCCCAATGGGAATCATAGTGTTTTGTATTGCAACTATCTCTTTAAGATCTAATTTTAGATAGTTTGCAGGAAGATCTAACAAGGCTATAAGGCAGGAAAGTGACAGCTTCAAACTGAGCAAGTACAAGATAGTAATACATTTAGAGGAAAATTATCCAAAATTTAGTAATAGAATTCTGTTTTATTGCACAATTTTCCAATCCAGAACTTACTACTTTGAGGATTTGAAAAAAAATTAAAGGTGTTATTTGAAGAAAAACTTGCGTCTATCTATAGATCTTCCTGCAGGTCACTTCTTTGTGGAGGTGGAGTGGTCCTCACCAAGGCAAAAAACTTTAATTTTTTAATCCAGACATTGCTTTGACTTATGTACATGCCTGATGCCTTAACTAGAGTCCATGTACTCCTGGGGGTGGACAAAGCTTTCCAAGAGGTAAACAGATATAGATGAATTAGTTTTCTAGGGCTGTTAGTAATAGTGTTACAAACCGGATGGCCTAAAACAGTAGATGTTTACTGTCTCTGGAGGCTAGAAGTCTGAAATAAAGGTGTTGGCAAGGCCATGTTCCCTCTCAAACTCTGGATAGAATTCTTTGTTTCTTCTTTCGAGTTCCTAGGGGTGGCCGGCAATCCTTGGCATTCCTCGGATTGCAACCTAATCAATCCTAGTTTCTCTCTCTCTCTTTTTTTTTTTGGCCACGCTGTGTAGCTTGTGAGATCTTAGTTCCTGACCAGTGATTGAACCTGGGCCTTCGGCAGTGAAAGCCTCGAGTCCTAACCACTGGACCACCAGGGAATGCCCCACAGTAGTCTAATCTCTGCTTCTGTCTTCACATTGCATTCTGCCTGTATGCCTTCACATCATCTTCTCCCTGTGTATGTTCAGTTTTCCCTTTTTTAAGGATACCAGTCTTATTGCATTAGGGCCCACCCTAATGACCTCATCTTAACTTGGTTAAATTTGCAAAGACTATTTCTAAGCAAGGTAACATTCTGAGGTACTGAGGGTTAGGACTTCAACATATCTTTTTGGGAGGGTACAATTCAGCCCACAATGTGTCTTTAAAATAATCAATTTCCAGGTCCTCAGTTTTTATATGTGTATTTTTTCCTACAGTTGATGTAAAATTTCTGAATTTTAAAGAAGAGCCCTTTCATATTCTTGGTTGGATCATAATGGCTATCAAATTGTTGTGGTATTTAGATTCCATTTTAAAGAATACTATAATAATACTAAGGGCAGTATTTACAGTATGCTGGAAATAATATTTTTCCCAACAATTTAAACCCATGTTGAAAATTTTAGAAGTCAAGTTAAAAATGTGTGAGGGAGTATATGGTTTTAAAAAGTTATTTTAGGGAGCGTGTGAGCCACATTTTTTGAAGACCACTGATCTACAGCAGTTTTTCAACCTTAGTATTATTAATGTTTGGGACTAGATAATTCTTTATTGTGAGAAGGCTGTCTTGTGCATTGTAGGATGTTTAGGAGCATCCCTGGCCTCTCCCCACTAGATGCCAGTAGCAGCTTCCCAGTAGTGACAACCAAAAATGTTTCCAGACGTTGCCAAATATCCCCTGGAAAGCAAAATTACTTTCCATCATTCCCTCATCACAGAAATAAAGCATACTGATCTCCTTTCAATTGGTAACATAGAATATATATTAGCATTTCAGACGTATGTTAATCTCGGTTTTGAGTTGTCTACTGTATAACTCCAGTCAAAAGCATGACCTAAGATGGCAGATTGAGAGATATAACTTAAGGGACATGATAATTCATTCACAAAAGTCAGTAAGTTTTATCCCTATATCAAGGCAGATGGCAAAACAGCTACATATAAATCATGTGTTAACTTTTTCCCCATCTCTGTAGATCTTAACATTATAAGCTCTTGCTTATATCTGGAGTCAGTGTGAGAAATGGCTATGTGGAAAACTTTTCTCTATTGTTCTAATAAAGTTCTAGTTGAGGACCTTCTCTATTACATTCTCTTACCCTTGTGTCATGAACCAAACCAAATTCCCACAGTGGTTTAGAGGTGAATTGGTATGCTTTCTTTCGGTTATATCACAGTAGCTCTGTAAAGCTTTTTGCCTTAACTACCAGGAACCTCTGAGCTACATTGGTGGTCGGTTATACTGTCTTCCCTTAGTTGTTTCCCAGTATAATTATTTCTTCATTCTCCCTCTTCCCTTAATCTTATTACTTTTTTTCTTGTTTAAATGGTTCTCAGTTGTATTGAATCTATCTATGCCTTTTAGCATAAGCACCTCCTTGTGTTGGAAATGTAAATACATTAAATAAATAAAGTTTATGGGATGGTATAGTTTGAACTATCAGTAACACACAGAAGGGTGCAAAGTCATTATAGAGTTTTTTTCCTGGCCTCATTCTCTCAGTGTACTACTCTGGCATAAAAAAGGACAGTGATTTGTTGAAAATCTTAAGATAATTATAGACAGAAAATAAATACCATTTTTCTCTCATAATAAAACTCTGGAGTCTGTGGGGGGGGGGTTGTTTGTTTGTTTTAGACTATTAGACCAAATTCTGTTTTCATTTTCTCAAAAAAAAACCCCACTGTAATTATTGTTGCTAAACATAGAGAGAAGCATTTACTGAAACTAGCCTAAAAACATTAGTACCTTTTAGTCAGAAACAGTGAAGGAGGAAAAGGCACTAACATTTATTGAATGCCTACTAAATGCTGGCCTTGCACTAGGTATTTTGTATCACATTTAATCCCCACAATAGTCTCATTATGATCTTAGTGCTATTTTTATCTACAAGGAATCCAAGGTTCTGAAACAGGCAATGCACAGATAGGTCATTCTCATTCCAAAGTTCTAGCTCTTTTTTTAAAAAAATAAATTTGTTTATTTATTTTTGTCTGCGTCGGGTCTTTGTTGCTGTGCGTGGGCTTTCTCAGTTGCGGTGAGCGGGGCCTACTCTTCGTTGTAATACACGGGCTTCTCATTGCGGTGGCTTCTCTTGTTGCGGGGCATGGACTCTCAGCACACGGGCTACAGTAGTTGTGGCACGCGGGCCCAGCAGCTGTGGCTCGCGGGCTCTAGAGCACAGGCACAGTAGTTGTGGCGCGTGGGCTTAGTTGCTCTGCGGCATGTGGGATCTTCCTGGACCAGGGATTGAACCCCGTGTTCCCTGCATTGGCAGGCGGATTCTTAACCACTGCGCCACCAGGGAAGTCCCCAGAGTTCTAGCTCTTTACATAATGTGCCATAAAGACTTCAGGACAGTGCCTGCCTAGCACATAGTAAGCTCTATAAGTGTTACTGCCTCGTATTATCATGTCATTTGGGGTATGAATAAAGATCAAAATTACTAAATGCTGAGATAATACACTACATCCAATCCTAGAGGGAATAGAGAAAAAACAAATTCTATACATTTAGAATAAATGAAAGTAATTTATTTAGACTATATAAAGAGGAATCTTAGTTTATTGTAGCCATCGTCTATAAGAACTTTATAAACTGAAAATATAAAATCAGATTATGTTAAATTTAATGAATTACCTAATGAGTTACCAAGAAAAATTCGAGAAGTATTCTTTATCCTAGAGATGAAGTAAAGGATAGTAATGTGCAATTCTTCCCTTGTTACCTTTGTCAGAGGCAGGAGATTGAACTTGATGGGTCATGCATCTAACTCAGTGTGACAATTGTTATGCTTTTGTGTTCAGACTACTCTATCATATTATCTGTATCTTTTTTTTGTTTTTATTTTTTATCTGTATCTTTTACATGAGTGTATATGTGTGTGTGTGTGTGTGTGTGTATATATATATATATATATAAATGTAGCTTTTCCTATCTAAATTAAAGTATATCATGTTATATTGGGAGGTGGTTTGTTTTAACATTATATTTTCTTGTGTGTATTGCTAGCCTTAGGAAAAAACACAATTACATACTTTTCCACAAGAAAAAAAATAATGGATTTTTGCTTTTTTCTGCCTTTAGTTCCATGTTTTCCAGCACCTAACATAACTTGTAAGGATTCTGGTGGCAATGAAACACATTTTACTGGAAACGAAATTGGTTTTCTCAAGCCCATATCTTGCCGAAATGTGTAAGTACCTACCTAACTGAAGCTAAATTTTCAGATTACTTGCCTATGTTGTATCTTGACTGAATGGAGTGAAGAGGAAAAGAGTTAATTTGTAAGGAGAATCCTGCACTAATATAATTTTTATCTTTTTGCTTTTGTCAGAAAATCTCTATTTTAAGTGTGCATATCGTTATATAAACGCAGTTTACCAACCAAGTAAAGCTCAGTAGTTCACTATGTGGGATAAACAGAATGAATGGCTTCATGCCATGTCAGTTCAGCCAGTTTTTGCTACCAAATGGCTTATGAAAAAATTCTGTTTTCAAAATTTGGGGGCTTTCTCGAGTACAAATAAGGGATTGTGTACCTATAGTATTAAAAGAATGCTAATTAGTAATCATTTGCATTTTGAAACTTGGTTTCATTATTTGTAATAGGTTTGGATGATAAATGGTAATGTTAAACAGAATTCAAAAGTTAGTTTGGTATATTAAGACAAATGGCTTTATTTTGTTGGGAGTATTCTTTGTTTAAAGGACTTTTAAGTTTGCTATTTATTTTTGCTCTAGTAAAGCTAACAGTTTATTCTTATGTTAATGCTTTGTCCTGAAAACATGATTTAATTTTACCCATTTTTATTAATTGTTGGCATTATATTTTTATCTTTTACTGTACTTTATATTTTTATCTTTTACTGTACATTGTTGCATTTTATATGATGGCACCTATTTTGCAGTTATATCAAAAAACAACCACTATTTGACTGTTTCTACAAGTTCTATTAGAATTCTTAGAAATTACTATTAGAGTCTTTTTTTTTTTTTGACCCTACTTCACTGAGTTAATGAGGGGCTTTAGATTCTATCTTGCTGTGTAATCCAATCACTTTAAGGTTCTTGGGTTCCAAGATTGTAAAGTAAAAATTGTTAAAGGGAATTATTTCCAAAGTACTTAGATATTGTTTAGTCAGTTTTTAGATTAATAGACTGATTTTCCAAATGAAAAATAATTTGTTAAGTGTTGGTCCAAGGTTATAATACAGCAACTAAGAAAATCATACATTAAGAACAGCTAACCATTTACGTTGGACGTTGCAGGTTCATATTACCTATAATGGTCACACCACAATGATCTGCCACTTAATTTCCAAATTAACTCTGATTTTCCTTTTACTGCCTCTGAGTAGTTAGGCTCAATGCAACTGAGCTGTACGAATCATGCTCACAAGACATTGATTTCAATTGTGATAGGAAATATAACTATCAAGGAAACTAGATACTCCAAGTCTACTGGCCAACTTATTCCCCTCCTGTAGTAAAGTCTACAATTCCAAAATAGAATTTGCTTGATAAGCATTGAATCAGAACAAGGGGAGTTAGATTGATAGATAATTTTAATAAGTCACAGAAGTAACATAACCTGATATATCACTTTCCTTTATCAGGGTATTCAGTACATGCCTACCAAACAGCCAGCTGCTAGTTAGCTACTGAGTAAAGACTCACTGACAAATTCTTAATTCATTGAGTGTCCCTTTTCCAGTTTACATATTTTCCTTCTCCTGTAGGCATATCCTTTTATAATATTGATACTTGACTAGAACTCCATCTCAATATTGCAGATATAGCCATTCTATAATGTATTCTTCAGCAACTGAAGTCTAGTAACTATGTCTGATTGGTTACCGAGTCACACACCTATTTATACTGGCCATCTGCATTAGTTGGAGCAGCCTGTTGTAACAAATGTCTTAAGAATTTCAGTGACTTAACACAGTAAAAGTTATTTATCACTCACATCATAGTCCAATTTGTGTTGCCTTGGAGGTCTGGATGGGGTGAAGGGAGTGGTAGTTGCTCCATGCAGTCATGTGGGCTCTTGTGCTTTCATCTTGTAGCTTTGCTTCCTCTAGTCCTTAGAGTCCTTTCCATTCAGCCAGCAGATGGAAAGTGGAGAAAAAAACCCTGCAGGAATGTTTTATTGGCCAGACATAAAATGATGGCATACATCACTTCTGTCCTCATTCTATTGGCCAAAACTAAGTGATGGCTGCACTTAACTGCAAAGTTAGCTACAGTATACAAAGGCATATCTCAGAGATATCGTGAGTTTGGTTGCAGACCAGTGCAATAAAGCAAGTCACATGAATCATTTGGTTTCCCTGTGTACATAAAAGTTATGTTTATACTATTTGTAGTCTATTAAGTGTGCCATAGCATTGTGTCTAAGAAAACCATACCTTAATTTTAAAATAATGCTGTTGGAAAAATGGTGCCGATAGACTTGCTTGATGCAGGGTTGCCACAAACCTTCAACTTGTAAAAAACACAGTTTATCTTTAAAGCACAATAATGCAAAGCACACCAAACAAGGTCTGCCTGTTGTTTCGTTGCGTGTACATGAGAAAAAGAGAAATGATTTGGTAAACAATTAGACAAATCTCTTCTACACCACCAGTTTTTAGATTATCCTTTAGGATGATTTATTTATGTAGGTAACTGCTTTTCTGATTTCATTCCCCTTACCAGCCAAGATTTTTGCGAGGCTTGTTTCTATAATATTTATCTTCTATGAATTTTTCAGTCTAATGCAGTATGGCTTTTGGCCATACTGAAATTCGCTAGCCATCTTTGTTGCTATATCAAATGGATATTTATAGTCCATATCTTAATCCTTCTACAGCATTTGGCATTCCCTTTTCTTAAAATACTTTCTTTCCTTAACTTCCAGTATAAAACACACTTCTATTTCTTTTGATTCCTATTCCTTTCCTTCTTCCTTAAATCTTGATATTCCCAAGATTATGTCCTTGGTCCTTTTCTCTGCTTCATTCATCCACCCCTTTAGTTTCTCTCACCATCTTTATATAAAGGTCCTTTCCTTCAGATCATTTCCTCCTTTGTATTAGTGAATGCAGCTGTTCTACCCAGTTTCTTAAGCAGAAACTTTTGGAGTCATTCTCCTATTCTCTCATTCCCCACATTTCTTCTGGCTGTTTCTGCCTTCTTAGTATTTCCCAATTTTGTTTCCTTTTCTCTCTCACTGCTACTATCCAGTAGGTTATAGCTTGAGTTTCTACAAAGGCTCCCAATTTATTTCTCTACTTCTAGTTTGTGACCCACTGCAATGTAGAAGGGGCACTACTGCCCTCAGTGTAAAATCTGACGTTCTTATATTATTAGATGCATAGACAGAATCTCTGGGTTGTTTACCATCTCCCCTAACTCCCTGAAAATGTCCTGATTGTGAGTCAATGCAAAAAACAGGATTGTAAGCAGGAGACTGACATAATCAGATTTGACTTTAAAATGATAACTCCAGCTACCTTTTTATTTCTTTACTCCTCTTTGCAGCAACTCCTTGAAAGAGTTATCTAATACTTCTTTTCTTTAATTTTGTCCAACCTTTTTTTTTAATTGAGTTAACATAGGTTTGTAGCATATAAGTTTCATGTGTACATTATAATTCAACTTCTGTATACACTGCAGGGTGCTTCTCACCACATCTAGTTTCCATCCATCATCATACAATTGATCTGTTTTACCCATTTCGCCTACCTCCCACCCCCCTTCAGCTCTGTGTCTACCAGTCTGTTCTCAGTTTCTATGTGTTTGTTTTTATGTTATTTTTTGTTGTTCATTTACTTTTTTTTATATTCCACATATGAGTGAAATCATATGGTATTTGTCATATTTGTCTTTCTCCATCTGACTTATTTCACTTAGCACATGGCACTTAGCACATAGACCTCAAGGTCTATGCATGTTGTCACAAGTAGTAAGATTTTGTCTTTTTTTTTTTAATGGCCGACTAGTATTCTTATATATATATATATACACCATATCTTCTTTATCCACTCATTCATTGGTGGGCACTTAGGTTGTTTCCATATCTTGGCTATTGTTAATAATGCTGCAGTGAACATTGGGATGCATATATCTTTTTGAATTAGTGTTTTCTTATTCTTTGGATAAATACCCAGAAGTGGAATAGCTGGATCATATGGTAGTTTTCTCCATACTGTTTTTTCTTTTCTTTTCGTTTTTTAAATAAATAAATTTATTTATTTATTTATTTTTGGCTGTGTTGGGTGTTCATTGCTGTGCGGGCTTTTTCTAGTTGTGGTGAGCAGGGGCTACTCTTCGTTGCGGTGTGTGGGCTTCTCGTTGCAGTGGCTTCTCTTGTGAAGCACAGGCTAAGTGCATGGGCTTCAGTAGTCGTGGCACGCAGGCTCAGTAGTTGTGGCTCACGGGCTCAGTAGTTGTGGCTTACAGGCTGCAGAGTGCAGGCTCAGTAGTTGTGGCACACGGGCTTAGTTGCTCCGCAGCATGTGGGATCTTCCCAGACCAGGGCTCAAACCTGTGTCCCCTGCATTGGCAGGCAGATTCTTAACCACTGCACCACCAGGGAAGTCCATCCATACTGGTTTTCATAGTGGCTGCTCTAATTTACATTTCTACCAACAATATACGAGGGTTCCCTTTTCTCCACATCCTCTCCAACATCTTGTCTTTTCTTGTTTTTATGATAATAGCCATTCTAACGTGTGAGGTGATATCTCATTGTGGTTTTAATTTGCATTTCTCTGATGACTGAACATCTTTTCAAGTGCCTGTTGGCCATGTCTTAAATGGAAAAATGTCTGTTTAGATCCTCTGTCCATTTTTTAATCAGGTTGTTTGTTTTGTTTTTATTGAGTTGTATGATAGGAATTGCACTGAATCTGTAAATTGCTTTAGGTAATGTGTATTTTAACAATGTTAATTCTTCCAATCCATGAGCATGGGATATTTTTACATTTTTTTGTGTTTTCTTCAATTTATTTCAATAATGTCTTATAGTTTTTAGTATACAGGTCTTTCATCTCCTTGATTAAATTTATTCCTAGGTATTTTATTATTTTTGTTACATTATAAATAGGATTGTTTTCTTAATTTCTTTTTCTGCTAGTTTGTTAGTGTATAGAAACACAACAGATTTTTGTATATTGATATTTTTACCCTGTTGTTTTACTGTATTTGTTTATTATTTCTAATAGTTTTTGGTGGAGTCTTTAGGGTTTTCTCTATATAAAATTATGTCATCCACAAATAGTGACAGTTTTACTTCTTCCTTGCCTTTTATTTCTTTTTCTTGCCTAATTGCTCTGGCTAGGACTTCCAATATTATGTTGAATAAGAGTGATGAGAGTGGGCATCCGTATCTTGTTCCTGATCTTAAAGGGATAGCTTTCAGTTTGTCACTGTTGAATATGATGATAGCTGTGGGTTTGTTACATATGGCCTTTACTATGTAGAGGTACATTCCTTCTGTACTCATTTTATTGAAAGTTTTTATCATAAATGGATTTTGAATCTTGTCAAATGTTTTTCTGAGTCTTTTGAGGTGATCATATGATTTTTATTCATTTTGCTAATATGGTGTGTCACATTGATTGATTTGTGGATGAATCATCCTTGCATCCCTGCAATAAATCCCATTTGATTATGGCATATAATCCTTTTAATGTATTGTTGTATTTGGTTTCCTAATATTTTGTTAGGGATGTTTGCATCTATGTTCATCAGAGATATTGGGTTGTAATTTTCTCCTCTTGTGGTGTCCTTGTCTGGTTTTGGTAATGCTGGTTTTGCAAAATAAGTTAGGAAGCATCCCCTCCTCTTCAGTTTTTTGAAAGAGGTTGAGAAAGATAGGTATTAAATCTTTGAATGTTTGGTAGAATTCACCAGTGAAGCCATCTGGTCCTGGACTTCTGTTTTGGGGGAGGTTTTTGGTTAATGTTTCATCTCTTTACTAGTGATAGGCCTATTCAGATTTTCTATTTCTTACTGATTCAGTCTTGGAAAGTGGTATGATTCTAAGAATTTATCCATTTCTTCTAAGTTGTCCAATTTACTGGCATACAGCCATTCATAGTAGTCACTTATAATCCTTCATGTTTCTTTGGTATCCATTGTAACTTCTCCTCTTTCATTTCTGATTTTATTTATCTGAGTTGTCTTTTTTTTTGTTGTGAGTCTAGCTGAAGGTTTGTCAACTTTGTTTACCTTTTCAGAGAACCAGCTCTTAGTTTCATTGATCTTTTCTGTTTTCTTTTTAGTCTCTATTTCATTTATTTCCACTCTGATTTTTATGTTTTCCTTCCTTCTACTGACTTTAGGCTTTATTTTTTCTCCTTTTTGTAGTTACTTTAGGTGTATGGTTACATTATTTGTGGTGTTTCTTGAGGTAGACCTGTATTTCTATAAACTGTCCTCTTAGTACTGATTTTGCAGTGTGTTTCCCATAGATTTTCAGTATGTCATATTTTCATTTTCATTTCTCTTCAGGTACTTCTAAAATTTCTCCTTTAATTTTTTTCATTGATGCATTAGTTGTTCAGTAGCATGTTGTTTAGTTTCCACGTATTTGTGGTTTCTCCAGCTTTCTTCTTATAATTGATTTCTAGTTTCATACTATTGTGGTCAGAAAAGATGCTTGATATGATTTCGGTGTTCTTAAATTTATTGAGACTTGTTTTGTGTCCCAGCATATGGTTTATCCTTGAGAACATTCTGTATGCACTTAAGTATGTGTATTCTGCAGATTTTGAATGGAATATTCTGTATACATACATCTGTTATTAAGTCTCTTTGGTCTAGTGTTTCATTTAAGACTGACTTTTCCTTCTTTTCTTTCTGTCTAGATGATCTGTCTGTTGATGTACAGGGGGTGTTAAAGTTCTTATTCTGTTGCTGTCAGTTTCTCCCTTTAGGTCTATTAATAATGCTTTATATATATTTTGGTGCTATTTTGTTAGGTGCATATATATTAATAAATGTTATATCTTCTTGATGGGTTATACCCTTTATCATTAGTATATAATGTCCATCCTTGCCTCTTATTAACTTTTTTGGTTTGAAGTCTGTTTTGTCTGATATGAGTATGGCTACACCTGCTTTCTTTTGGCTGCCATTTGCTTAGAGTATCATTTTACAGCCCTTTACTTTGCACTTATATTTATCTTTAGAACTGAGATGTGTCTCCTGGAGGCAGCATATAGTTGGGTCTTATTTTTTAATCCATCCAGCCACTCTGTGTCTTTTGATTGGTGAATTCAATCCATTTACATTTATTGTGATTTTTTTTTTTTTTTTTTTTTTGGCCACACCCTGCAGCATGTGTGATCTTAGTTCCCCAACCTTGGATCAAATCCATGCCCCCTGAAGTGGAAACGTGGAGTCTTAACCACTGGACCACCAGGAAAGTCCCCATTTAGTGTGATTACTGATATATGAGGACTTGGTATTGACATTTTATCTTTTCTCTTCTGGTTGTTCTATAGTTCCATTGTTTCTTTTTCCTTGCATTTCTGTCTGCTGTTTTAGTTTGGTGGTTTTCTATGATGTTTTTCTTAGTTTTCTCTTTTTTTATGTTTTGTGTCTCTGCACTAGATTTTTGTTTTGTTATCATGAGGTTTGTATAAATGTTTTAAATATAGAATAGTCCTTTTTCTGCTGGTAATATCTTATCCTAATATGCCTCTACAGGTTTCATCCTTTTCCTCTTCTCCTTTTATGTTTTTGTTGTCACAAGTATGTCTCAACACAAAATGCTGTGAGTTTGTTACCAAATTGACATAGCTGTAGTTATTTTTACTGCTTTTTTTCCCTGCCCTTTAACCTTTGCTGTAATTAAGTGTTTAACAACCTATTCTGATATACAGTTGCAATTTTCTGATTCTGTCTATTTATTACCTTACTCAAAGTTTTGTGTACTTTTGCCTTTTCATTTCGAGCTGCTTTCAACATTTCTTGTTAGGCAGGTCTAGTGGTGATAAACTCCTCAACTTTTGTTTGTCCGGGAATGCCTTTATTTCTCCTTTCTGTCTGAATGATACCTTTGCTGTATAGAGTATTCTTGGCTGACAGTTTTAATTTTTCAATATTCTGAGTTTGTCATTCCACTGTCTTCTGGCCTGTAGAGTTTCTGCTGAGAAATCTGCTGATAGCCTCATGTGGGTACCTTTGTAGGTTATTGTCTTCTTTTTTTTTTTTCCTGGCTGCCTTTAAAATTCTTTCTTTGTTATTGACTTTTGACAATTTTAATATAATGTGTCTTGGAGAAGGTCGTCTCGTTTTGAGATAAGTAGGTGTTCTGTTAGCTTCATGGGCTCATATATCTAGTTCCATTCCCAGATTTCAGAAGTTCTCAGCTATTATTTCCTTAAATAGGCTCTCTGTTCCCTTGTCCCTCTCTTTTCTTTCTGGGATACGCATTGTCCTTATGTTGCCTTTCTAATGGAGTTGGATAGTTCTTGTAGAGTTTCTTCAGTTAAAACAAAAATCTTAGCTCTCTCCTCTTTTACCTGAATCGTTTCTCAATTTCTGTCTTTGAGTTTGCTAATTCTCTCTTCCATATGTTCTACTCTGTTTCCAATGCTTTCTAATGCCGTTCTTCGTGTTGTTTATTGAGTTCTTCAACTCCATAACTTCTGTTTGGTTCTTTTTTAGAGTTTCACTCTCTTTGATAAAGTATTCCTTCTGTTCATTAATTTTATTCCTTAGTTCACTGAACTGTCTTTTCTGTTTTCTTATATATAGCTTGTTGAGTTTCTTTCTGATACCTGTTTTGAATTCTCTGTCAGCTAGACCACAGTCTTCTGTGACTTTAGTTTCTGGAGAACTGTCATTTTCTTTTTCTGATACTGTGTTACTGTGTTTTTTCATAGTGCTTGGTGAGTTGTTCCTTTGCTGGCGCGTTTGAAGTAGTGAATACCTTTCTTATTTAGGTAAACCTTTATTTACTTTGATTCTAACAGTTCAACAGGTTGGTAATTAGAGTCCTTTCTTTTGTTTTTCAGTAGGTGGCGCTATAGCATAAGTTATAGCTTAGTTTATCTTACCTGAGTGCTTCTGGCTATATTTGAGAATTGGCACTTTCACCCTCCATCACCTTTGCCAGAGAGGTCGTCAGTGCCCTCATCATCACCGCTTGTTCCTCTGGGGTTACTGGTGCCTTGAGATGGTGGGTGCCTCTGCCATGTGTGGGGTTGCCTGGGTTGTGGGCACTGCTGTAGCGGTGAGGGAAGGGGGAATGGGGGGAAGGAGCCAGGTTTGGGTGTGCTGTGGGGGAGAGCAGAGTCACAGGTACCACTATGGCCCTTCCAGTCTTTCTTAAGCCTGTTCTGTTCTGTCTTTTGCCCTCATCGTTACCAGAATTGCTCTTGCTGAGGTCACTAAAGATCTCCTCTTGGTTAAATTTAGTAGTAAATTCTCAGGCATTCTTATGTCATTCATCAGTCACATTTGGCGCAGTTGATCACTCTGTTCTTAATACACTGTCTTCACTTGACTTTCCAAGATACCACACTCTTTTGGTTTTACTTCTTCCTCACTGTTAGCTCCTTCATTGTTTCTTCTCTGCTTGATATGGAAAGGTTTGTTGTACATTATTGTGACAATAGCTCACAAATGCTCCCCTACAGTCTATCTTCAGCACAGCAGCTAGAGTGATTATTTTAAAATCTAAATCAGATCACACTCCACACCTCTACTTACGTCTGCAGTAGCTTCACATATCTCTCAGAGTAAAAGACAGAGTTTTTACTTAATGATGATAGTCAAGGCCTTGCGTGATTTGCCTTCTTTGCCCCCTATTATCTCTCTGACCTCGTCTACTACTATTCTTCCCCTATCTTACTCCACTCCTGCTGCACTGTCAGGTATGCTGCCTTTGCAACAGCAGTTTTTTTGGCTGGGACACTGTTCCCTCAGAGGTATGGCATGGTTAAGTCACTTACTCTAGATTATAAGCTCTTTAGGCATCAGGAATCTTTGTCTCTTTTGTTCATTAATATATTCCAATAGCCTAAGATAGTGCCTGGCACTCAGTAGCCACCCAAAAAGCATTAATTGAGTGGATGAATAAACTAGTTAACAAACAATAATAATTAACAGTTTTATTTTCTAAAATGTTTACATGTTGAAAATATATGAATGTGACATTCATGTTCCAATTCTGTGCAGAAATGGCTATTCATACAAGGTGGCGGTTGCACTGTCTCTTTTTCTTGGATGGTTGGGAGCAGATCGATTTTACCTTGGATACCCTGCCTTGGGTGAGTATGTTTCATTTAAAAAAAATTCTTGTGAAACTTGTAAGTTAATGTACCTACTCTTATATAGATTAAATCTCTGCAAACTATTAATAGTTACAAGTTCCATGTAGCTGGAGTTGAAAGGTCAGTGTTCTTCTGTGAGTATAGAGCTAGCAATTAGCTCTGTAGTTAAGTTGGAGAAGAAATTGACTTTTCTTGTGTTTTCATCTTTATGAAAACACACACTCAAGATAGTGTAGTCACTAATTAGAACAGTAGACTTGAGCTGTCATTACTAGTGCTGGGCACACAGTGGATGTTCAATAAATGTTTTATGAATAAATGCATATCGTTTCCTATCCCTCCAAAAAATGTTTGCCTTCTACCTGAACCCCTATAAGTGTTGATTTTGGAATAGAAACTACTTCTTGCAGGAGAAGTTGGTGTTGGAACTACAGCAGCCAGCACGAGCTGGTGTGGAGCCTGGTTATTACCCTTAGCATCCCTCCCCATACCTTCCTCCTAGCTATAATCTTTACATTTACCATAGTTGCTAATGCTTATGAAAACTATTTACATTTGATGATAGCTTTTGTTTAAATAGTACTTTCACATGCCTGCCCTTATTTACGCCTTAAAACTCTCTGAGTTTATCATCCAGTTTAAATCTTCTTTAACAGGTAGGGAAATTGTCGCCAGAGAGGTTAAGGGATTTACTGACTCTGGAGGCCTTGCTTTATACTGTAACATGTTTGTTGTTATCATCACTGTTTTATGGATAGCGAAATTGTCATGAGATTAAGAGATTTACCCAAGGACACTCAGCTAGTGACCTGACTTTGAACCCAAATATTCTGGCTCAAGAGATCATGCTTTATTTACTGTAGTACTTTGCTTCTGTATTAGCCCTTCACTGAGCAAATTTAAAGTTTCTGAATGCTCCACTTTCTAGCTAGCAAAGCTAATCTTATTCTTTCCATGTTGCTACCCACCAGAGATCAAAGAGGAATTTTCACTGTGGGGTTGGTGGGAATTATGTTTCTGTTAACCTTAACTGGAACTCAGTGTTATAAGGTCATAAATAGAAGTCATAGTTTAAAATACTGTATACCTGGAATTTTTTCAGTTAACATTTATTCAAAATTTACTTGCTGTTAAGTAAGTAATGAAGTTCTCTGGAAATAACGATGGAGATCACAGTTCATACTGGTTAGAAGAAAATAAGTAATAAATGGTAGGCCAATTTGTGCTACAGCACTGTTACAGAACTGTAGTAAAGTGCTATGAGAGCAGAGAAAAAAGACTGATTTAGTCAGCCTTAGGATGTGAGGGAAAACTTGTTGGATGAGGGGACATTTGCACTAGGTTTTTAAGGATGAACAGATTAGAGATTTAGGGCATTACAGGGAACAGCATGTGCAAAAGCATAGGGTGTGAAAGAGCATATGTGCAGTGTTGAGAAAATGGTGGATAATTTAGCCTATGGTGTAGGAAGAAACGTGGCAGAACATGAAAAGTGATTGCAGAGGTAGCCTGTGGTCAGATTATAAAAGGCTTTGAGAAAGAATTCCCTGGTAGTCTAGTGGTTAGGACTCGGCGATTTCAGTGTTGTGGGCCCGGGTTCGATCCCTGGTTGGGGAACTAAGATCCCACAAGCCGTGCAGTGTGGCCAAAAAAAAAATGGCTTTGAGTGTCTTGTTCTGGAGTTTGGACTTTACCCTTTAAACATCAGAAGGCATAAAAGTTTTTAATCAGAGGAGTGTCATGGTCAGGTTTATATTTCAGGAAGATGATACTGGAGAAATTGTGGGAAATGGCTTAGAACAGAGAAAGACTGGTGGCAGAGGAAGCTAAAAAGAGATGGATGCAGTAGTCCTGGCCTGAGGGAAGGAGAAATACTATTTCTTTGAACAGTTTATTCTATGATGATTTTTGAATAGTAAATATATTTTAAATATTTGGCTTAATGAGTGACTTTTTAGCTTCCTGTGATGTGTGTCAAGTGAGCTGTCATGTCATATGGTCTAAGTTAATTTTTTTGACTTATTGCAGCACATAATAACATGTTGGTTTGTATATTACGATTTTCTTTTCCTACAACATAAAACTCTAGGTTATAAAGCTCCATATAAAGCTCTGTATAGTGACTCTGGTTCGTGAATGCTAGTTCCCTGCCAGGAGCTCCCTTTCTCCAATCACTGCTACTCCAGTCTATTAATTAATTTCAGTCAAAGAGAACCTTTCAGTTTGAGGCTGAGATTCTATAAATTTGCAAATGTAATTTTTACATTTGACTTTATTTCTTAGTGTAAAAATCTTTAAGTAACTTTATTATTACAACAACCTTTGGATGTTCATTAATTCAACAAGTTTTTTGACTGTTGGCTTAAGATACAACTTTCTTAAGATTGTTAAGTCTGTCACTTCTCATTCATCTGCTTCTGAATTTTCTTCCATTCTCTTTATTCTGTTGGGTTTATGGCTTTAAAAATCCCTTTACTATCTTTTAATGGGGTCCTGGAGTGAGAGGAGTTAAGAGGACATGTCAAATACATTATTTTTAACTGAAAGTTCTTATATCTCTTCAAGCATTCAAATATTTTTATCCCTATCTTACTTACATTTAAGCTATATAAATGTGAAGGATTTTGATGTTTTATCAATTTAATCTAATCTAATATGTAAAATTACCGTGTTTGTAAACTTAAATCATTTAAATGTTTTTAATTAAGTTTTAATTTTTACTAAGAATCCAAGGTTAAGGAATTTTGGTATTCAATTAAAATGATTACTGTCATTTAAAAAAATTCTTAAATGGAGAATGCAATGTTGACTGGTATGAAAATAGTTACAGGTAGAGCCTAAAACTATTTTTCTTATAATCTTATTTAATCTTTCTTCATGGTAATGAAAAGCAGTGATAGTATATTTATAGATAGCTTTTTTTTTAACATCTTTGTTGGAGTATAATTGCTTTACAATGGAGTATACAATGGAGTATAAATGCTTTACTTTCTGCTGTATAATAAAGTGAATCAGCTATGTGCATACGTATATCCCCATATCCCCTCACTCTTGTGTCTCCCTTCCACCCTCCATATCCCACCCCTCTAGGTGGTCCCAAAACACCGAGATGATCTCTGTGTGCTATGCAGCTGCTTCCCACTAGCTAGCTGTTTTTTATTTGGTAGTGTATATATGTCAGTGCTACTCTCTCACTTTGTCCCAGCTTACCCTTCCCCTTCCCCGTGTCCTCAAGTCCATTCTCTATGTTTGCATCTTTATTCCTGTTCTGATGCTAGGTTCTTCAGAACCATTTTTTTTTTTTAGATTCCATATATATGTGTTAGCATACGGTATTTGTTTTTCTCTTTCTGACTTAACTCACTCTGTATGACAGACTCTAGGTCCATCCACCTCACTACAAATAACTCAATTTCTTTTCTTTTTATGCTTGAGTAATTTTCCATTGTATATATGTGCCACATCTTCTTTATCCATTCATCTGTTGATGGACACTTAGGTTGCTTCCATGTCCTGGCTATTGTACATAGTGCTACAGTGAACATTGTGGCACATGTCTCTTTTTGAATTGTGGTTTTCTCAGGGCATTTGCCCAGTAGTGGGATTGCTGGGTCATATGGTAGTTCTATTTTTAGTTTTTTAAGGAACCTCCATACTGTTCTTCATAGTGGCTGTATCAGTTTACATTCCAACCAACAGCGCAAGAGGGTTCCTTTTTCTCCACAACCTTTCCAGCATTTATTGTTTGTAGATTTTTTGGTGATGGCCATTCTGACCAGTGTGAGGTGATACCTCACTGTAGTTTTGATTTGCATTTCTCTAATGATTAGTGATGTTGAGCACCTTTTCATGTATTTGTTGGCAATCTGTATATCTTCTTTGGAGAAATGTCTGTTTAGGTCTTCTGCCCATTTTGGGATTGGGTTGTTTGGTTTTTCCATATTGAGCTGCATGAGCTGCTTATATATTTTGGAGATTAATCCTTTGTCAGTTACATTGTTTGCAAATACTTTCTCCAGTTCTTAAGGTTGTCTTTTCGTCTTGTGTGTGGTTTCCTTTGCTGGGCAAAAGCTTTTAAGTTTCATTAGGCCCATTTGTTTATTTTTGTTTTTATTTCCACTTCTCTAGGGTGTGGGTCAAAAAAGATCTTGCTGTGAGCTTCCCTGGTGGCACAGTGGTTGAGAGTCTGCCTGCTGATGCAGGGGACACGGGTTCGTGACCCGGTCTGGGAAGATCCCACATGCTGCAGAGCGGCTGGGCCTGTGAGCCATGGCCGCTGAGCCTGCGCGTCTGGAGCCTGTGCTCTGCAACGGGAGAGACCACAATAGTGAGAGGCCCGTGTACCACAAAAAAAAAAAAAAAAAAAAAAAAAAAGGTCTTGCTGTGATTTATGTCATAGAGTGTTCTTCCTATGTTTTCCTCTAAGAGTTTTATAGTGTCTGGCCTTACATTTAGGTCTTTAATCCATTCTGAGTTTATTTTTGTGTATGGTGTAAGGAAGTGTTCTAGTTTCATTCTTTTACATGTAGCTGTCCAGTTTTCCCAGTACTACTTATTGAAGGGGCTGTCTTTTCTCCATTATATATTCTTGCCTCCTTTATCAAAGATAAGGTGACCATATGTGTGTGGGTTTATCTCTGGGTTTCTGTCCTGTTCCATTGATTTCTATTTCTGTTTTTGTGCCAGTACTATATTGTCTTGATTACTGTAGCTTTGTACTATAGTCTGAAGTAAGGAAGCCTGATTCCTCCAGCTCCATTTTTCTTTCTCAAGATTGCTTTGGCTATTCGGGGTCTTTTGTGTTTCCGTACAAATTGTGAAATTTTTTGTTCTCGTTCTGTGAAAAATGCCATTGGTAGTTTGATGGGGAGTGCACTGAATGTGCACTCCTTTGAGTAGTATAGTCATTTTCACAATGTTGATTCTTCCAATCCAAGAACATGGTATATCTCTCCATCTGTTTGTATCATCTTTAATCTGTTTCATCAGTGTCTTAT